TAATATGTTGTTTATCGTTCAAAAACTATATTTTGGTACTTATATTTATTATATCTTATGTTTTAGTACTACTTTTTAATAAATTTGCAAATAGGCCACAAAAGATTTATGAAAAATTAAAATTATAGTATGTAGAGTTTTTTACTAAAAAATTATAATATCTATCTTTTGAAAGTTTACAAACCTGCTTAGATGGATTTTAAATCTTCACATTTATATGAATTTGTAAATCTCAAATAATCCTATTGCCAAGAAACTTGATAGAGCTCTAGTCAATATTAAGTGGATTGAATCTTATAAGGATTGCGCAATGGAGGTTTTCCCACCAGGGTTCACTGATCATTGTGGGGTTCAAGTCAGCACTGCAGCTTCAGTTACTTCTTACCCAAAGGCCAAAACCATTCAAGTATTTTGAGTTTTGGGCTGAGCATCCATTGTTTTTAGAAGTGGTTGAAGCAGCTTGGGCAATAGAGGTGGAGGGTACACCTATGCAGATAGTACAAGGCAAACTGCGAGAAGTTAAAAAAGCATTGAAAAAATTCAATAAAGAGGTTTATGGGGAGTTGCATAAGCAGGTTGGGGAGGCTGCAGAGGAATTCAAAAGGGCACAAGTGCAGGCTCTTTCTGACCCTACTGCTTCTCATTTTGCGGCAGTTAAGGTGCATAAGCAGAAATTGGATCAGTTAAATTTGGCATATGAAAGCTTTTGTTGGCAGAAATCCAGAGTCTCATGGTTGACAGTAGGGGATACAAGTTCTGCGTTCTTTCATCAAGCTGTGAAGATAAGAAACTCAAAAAGAGCTATTAGAAAGTTAATTACAGAGACAGGGGTTGAGTTAACACAATCTGATCAGATAATAGAGTAAGCTATCTCCTACTACAAAAGATTATTGGGTACAGTCAATCAGGATATCAAACCAGTGAAGGAAGAAGTGGAGAAGTTAGTGCAATGTAAGCTGTCAGGGGCAGATTGTTTGTTTTTGAATCGTTCCATTACACCTGAAGAAGTAAGGAAAGCTGTGTTTGCTATGAGTCCACAAAAGGCCCCTGGGCCAGATGGCTTTTCTGCAGGATTTTACAGGAGAACTTGGCATATTATTGGAGCTGATATAACAAGGGGGTGCTGGATTTCTTCCACACAGGTGCTATGCCTAGTGGTGTGAATTCCACTGCTGTCTCGTTGCTTCCTAAGGTACAGAATGCTGATACTTTAAAGAATTTCAGACCAATATCTTGTGTGAATATACTGTATAAGATTGTTGCTAAAATACTAGCTAAGAGGATCAGGGAAGTGTTGCCTAAGGTCATAAGTGGTACTCAGTCTGCATTCATTAAAGGGAGAAACATAATGGATAATATTCTATTTGCTCAAGAACTGGTTAGTGGATATCATAGGAAAGATTTGTCCTCACGATGTGCTATTAAGGTTGATATTATGAAAGCTTTTGACTCGGTAAATTGGTCATATCTTTTCCTTATGATGAGTTCAATGGGATTTCCAGATCAGTTTATGAAGTGGATAAAGAGTTGTCTTCAAACAGCACATTACAGTATAAATGTGAATGGTAGCTTATGTGGCTTTTTTAGAGCATGAAAGGGGGTCAGACAGGGTGACCCACTGTCTCCTTACCTTTTCACTATAGCCATGGAAGGGCTTTCAACATTGTTATTGAAAGTAGGGCAAACAGGGGCAATACCTTTTCATCCACAGTGCAGGAAAGTCTCTCTGAATCATATTTGTTTTGCTGATGATATCTTGGTATTTACGGTTGGTTCTGCACAAGCTATTTTGCAAGTCAAAGCAGTTTTGCAAAAGTTTTATCAGATGTCTGGGTTGAACAGCAATCCGGCTAAGTGTGAGATTTATTTTGGTGGGGAATCAGTGATTTACCAAAAGAATGCGCTGAGACTTTCTGGTTTCCAGGAGGGAAAGCTCCCTGTCAGATACCTGGGTTTGCCATTAATAACTGGCAAGTTATCCTCAAAGAAAATTGATACTTTAGTGGATAAGATCACAAAGAGGTTAAAATCCTGGAGGGCCAAAAAGTTGACTTATGCAGGTAGATTGCAGTTACTCAATTCTGTGTTGATTGGTATTGTTCAATACTGGATGCAATTGTTTGTGTTACCTAAGCAAGTTTTTAAGAGAATTCAGAAGGTCTGTTCTCAGTTCCTGTGGCATGGGAATGAAGAGGGTAGGGCTAAAGTTGCTTGAAATTCAATTGCCCTCCCTAAAAAAGAGGGAGGCTTGGGGGTAAAGGATTTATTGAGTTGGAATCAAGCATGCACTGTTCGGCTGCTCTGGCTATTTTTGTTGAATTCTGGAACACTATGGGTAGCCTGGATGTATGCATATAAATGTAGGCAGGGGGATTTGTGGACAATGAAGGTTTCATATAGTAGTTCTTGGGCATGGAGGCGATTGCTGAAGCTGAGGCCTTTGATTCAAACTTGGTTACATAAGCACAACAATGAGATTTACTGGGGGGGCAGCGCTGATGAAGAAGTACTCAGTGCGCAAAGTTTGGGAGACATTAAGACTTCGTGAGTCTGAGGTTCCATGATACAAGCTGGTATGGTGTAAACCTTGCCCGTTAAGGTATAATTTCCTGGCTTGGCTCATAACTAGAAACTCTATTGTTACTCGAGACAAGCTGTTGCGATGGGGGAAGCTTACAGATGCTTCCTGTCCGTTATGTGGAGGGGCTGCTGAATCAAGAGAGAACTTGTTTGTGCAGTGCTTGTTTATACGCCAGGTTGCCTCTGCTATCCGATGCACTCTGTTTAACTATGGTAGTTGGGATGCAATGTTAAATGGTGTGGTGAATATAGTGAGCAGGGACTCAAAGATGGGGCATTGGCATGCTATGATTTGGTGTTTTCTTTTGTCTTTCGTGTGGAAAGAGCGATGTGCTGTTGTTCACGGTTCTGTCTGTAAGTCTCCGATTCGACTAGCTGGCCTACTGAAAGAGGAGTTATTTTACATAGTTATTGGTCAACCAGAGTTAAAGGCTGAACTGGAAGGGTTGGGGTACCTATAGTTTGGATTTTTGGTACTTATATTTGTTCTAGTTTTTCTTTCTTGTAAGTAGTTTGGCTGTAATAGTGGGGAGGGATAGTAGAGGAAGTTGTTTTGCATAGGGTCTGTGAGATCCTATCTCGTTGTATCGGTTTCTTTTTTTTAGCAATAAAAGCAACTGATTCAAAAAAAAATGTATTTGATAATCCACGGTGCTAGGTATGGTTGAACATGGGAGTCCTAGCAGCTTACATACTCAATGCAATGGTGTCATCATTCTCACCCTGATTTCCTCATATGACCTTCTACGTGATAGTCATCGTCCTATCCATGCTATTCACTGCATGTACTATGGTCATCCCGGAATCGCCATACTAGCTACTAATGAAAGGTGGCAAGCTGATGAAGCGACGAGAATTTTGGAAAATAGTGAGCGAGGTCTGAATGAAGTTAACTTCATAATCTCGCAGATGGAAATACTAGCTGGTAATGAAAATCATCAACAACATGAAGTTCTCCCTATTGCTTGGCACTATCTGTATAGCACCAATGAATTGTTCCTCCAGCCACCATTTTGTAGTGTTGTAATCTCGGTTGTCGGGCTACATGTCTTCCGACAGTTGGATGGTGTGAAAGGCCAACACAGTGACACTCTTCCACCAATTCTCGATAGAGTTCGAGGTGTTGGCAGAATGGGGAATCCAGGTAGTCAGGCTGATTTTCGCCCTTGTCTCGAGCTGCCTGGTGGACTGGCTAGTTCGAAGGTTCCTGCTTCTCATCGGGATTGGTTGCCAGTGCAGCTTTCTGGTGATGCTAGGGTTGCCACTTTGGGGTGTCCGGCATGATTGGTTGAAGCCATCTAGTGGCAGTGGCTACGACGAGGGAGTAGATGTGTTCACGTTGGGGTTAACTGGGGTTCTCGGGCCGTTTGAGGTAGCTAGGGTTGGGCCCGATTACTTAGATTTATGACTCGAAGGTGTTCGAGTACAAGAATCGAGCTCGCAGTGCGAGTTTTGGGACCGTGCACGGATGTACTAGTGTTTTGTGTCAATTTCACTGTCGAGAAGTTAAAAGTAGTTATTGAGTCAACTGTGGGTGCTGGAACTAGTGATGGATGAGGATTTAGCAAATGATGCAAAATTAATATCCTAACAAAGTGTTATGGGAGCTCTCAGTGTGAAGCAGTTGAAGTGCCCACACCAAGCAAATACTTCTTCTTTCAAGCCAAATAGCAACCAACAAGAACCCCATTTATGTATCTTTATGTAGAATATGGACTTTTTCGGTTATATAAATCTGCATATAATGCCACAAACTGTTATATAATCCTAAATTGTGCACAAATTTTGGTTATACTACTGATATATTCTCGACCCTCACAAATGGGGATGTTTTTTGTGGGAATATCAAGTGTTTTGTGATGTCTTCCTATGGTGTTCTTATTGTAGGGGAAGTCTTGATCGGTCTCAGGCACATCATTCATATAGTCGAGCTTTGGTAAGTATTTTCTTAGGCTGCCACTCCGTTGTACCCTAATCTCGATCTCGGAGGTCGACTTGCAAATCTTCTAACTAGTATTCATGCTCGTACCAAAGCTCGGTTATATAACCATGAGCGGCGATGGGATTAAGACCCATAGCAAAACCAATAAAAACTAGCCTTATAACTAAAGCACCACAAGACGATATCCCAATACACTAGAACACGTCCCCTACAAAGAACAACTTGTGTGAAATAACATACACAAACCCACCTAATAATAGAACACTCACAGACAAGTCCAAATAAGCCCAAACAAACCAACCAGGCCTTCCTAATACTAACTGGAAGCCCAGCGATGGAAGCCTCAAAGGTAAACCCACTAGGAATGTGGGACCCGCCAAATCAAGAAAAGCGCCGGGTTCTGCGGGGTCCAGCTTCATGAAACATTGCCAGGTAGGAGAGAGAGAGTCTGAGGTCAAGCTTTGCTTCGGGGAGTCCGCAGCTCCACCTCTCCGCCCTTTCCTTTCCTTTCCTTCCTTCATCGTGCTCCCCAAACAAAACAGCTACCAAACCCCCCTCTGCGCCATTTTTCTTCATCGATCATCACCCTATTTTATTCTCTTCGCACTGATCGCCCATTCAGCGGATTCCCCAACGCAGCCGTCCTCCCGTTATAGTCAGCAAATTCGAACCTCCCACTTACCAACCAACCAACCCACCACCAGAAATGGCATTCGCGGCTAGCACTGCAGCGACCACCACCAGCATTCTCAAGACCTCCTTCTTCACCTCCAAACCCGCCTCCTCTTCCTCCGCCTCCTCTTCCGTCCCTTTCAAGCCCCGGAACTTCTCCGTCCGCAGCTCCGTCGCCGCCGCCCCCGCCACCGGCAAGGCCGCCAAGGAGTGCCTGGTCAAGTCCGTCAAGGCCAGGCAGATCATCGACAGCCGCGGCAACCCCACCGTCGAGGTCGATCTCTTCACCGGCGGCGGTGACCTCTTCCGATCCGCCGTCCCCAGCGGCGCCTCCACCGGGATCTACGAGGCCCTCGAGCTCCGCGATGGGGACAAATCCGTCTACGGCGGTAAAGGGGTCCTCACTGCTGTTGCCAATATCAACGACATTCTCGGCCCTAAGCTCGTCGGCGTTGATGTTAGGTGAGCTGTTTTTTTTCTTTCTCATTGCTTACTTCGTTTCCATTCATTTTTGGCTCTCTCGCGGAATAGACCATTCAAGAAGTTGCCCGGTTTGTAAGCGCTTGCTGTTTCTGGTTCTGATGGTTTTTGCATTCTGTTGGGTCACCAGAAACCAAGCGGATGTAGATGCTCTTATGCTGGAAATAGATGGAACCCCAAACAAGTCACAACTTGGGGCGAACGCCATACTGGGAGTCTCCCTCAGTGTGTGCAGAGCTGGAGCAGGTGCCAAGGGAGTGCCATTGTACAAGCACATCCAGGAACTGGCAGGGACGAAAGAGCTAGTTATGCCCGTCCCGGCTTTCAATGTCATCAATGGAGGAAGTCATGCTGGGAATGCACTAGCTATGCAAGAGTTCATGATTTTGCCTGTCGGGGCGGGTTCTTTTGCAGAGGCCCTCCGTATGGGCAGTGAAGGTCAGCTACATATAATAGCTAATTCTTAGTTGAACCTTGTGTAGTTTAGGGTTTAAGGTATGAAAGTTCTGCATCTTGATGTTTCAGTTTACCATACGCTTAAGGGGATTATCAAATTGAAGTATGGGCAGGACGCTTGCAATGTTGGTGATGAAGGTGGGTTTGCTCCTAATGTACAGGATAATAGGGAAGGGCTAGTGCTTCTCATGGACGCCATTGAGAAGGCTGGTTATACAGGAAAGGTATTAACTTTTAGCTAGCTTCTCTGCTCTTCTTGCCCCTCCCCGTGTGATTCTACTCCATCTACTCATGCTGCAATGTCTGCTGTGAAAAACCTTATGCCAGATCAAAATAGGAATGGATGTTGCTGCTTCGGAATTTTTCACCAAAGATGGTAGATACGATTTAAACTTCAAGAACCAACCGAATGATGGAGCTCACGTGCTCGCAGCTCAGAGCCTTGGAGATCTCTACAGGGAATTCATCAAGGATTTCCCTATTGTCTCCATTGAAGATCCATTTGACCAGGATGACTGGAGCTCTTGGGCTTCTCTGCAGTCTTCTGTAGATATCCAACTCGTGGGAGATGATTTGTTGGTCACAAATCCCACAAGAATAGCTGAAGCTATTGGCAAGAAGTCCTGCAATGGTTTGCTTCTCAAGGCAAGCGGCCAGAAAGTTTTTATTTGCTTTACTTTCTTCCATATGTAATACTAGTGAATAGGAAAGAGTTCACTAATTGCCTCAATACTTCAATTAAACCGCAGGTGAACCAGATTGGCACAGTGACGGAATCCATTAAAGCAGCACTTGACTCGAAAGCTGCAGGTTGGGGAGTGATGGTTAGCCACCGAAGCGGTGAAACTGAAGATAATTTCATTGCTGATCTTTCTGTTGGGCTGGCCAGTGGACAGGTTTGAACTGCTAAAGTTTTTGAAAATATGTTTTTCACTACATATCATTCTATGTGGATTGATTCTCTTTTCTCCTTACCCTCTTCTTTGTAGATTAAAACTGGAGCTCCTTGCAGAAGCGAGCGATTGGCCAAATACAATCAGGTTAGATCTCATGATTCTGTATCTAGTACCTCTTACCACACTTTGAAAAGGATAATTCTTCTAATATGAATTGAACTACTGAGAAGATTACGTTTATGCTATTTGACCTAATTGTTTTACTTGAGGAGCTGTTTCTCAGAGACTAGTTTATTTACCCATCTTTTCAGTTTTAGGATGCTTAATGGTCATTAAAGCCTAGCAATTGGGGGTTTTCCAGATACTGTCTCTGTTAACTTTGGTTCTCTGTTACTGATTTGTTAATGCTCAATTTCATAACTGTTAGCTGGTTCTCTTTGTATTGCAGCTGCTGCGGATCGAAGAGGAGCTAGGAAATGTGCGCTATGCTGGCGAAGCCTTCCGATCCCCATAGGAGAAGAGAAGGGAAAGGTGGAAATAAATGAAACATCATGTGGAGCTGGCGAAGCTGGACGTGTTGCAGCGGGAAATTTGTAGATTTACCTTCTTTTACAAGAAAGGAGTCCGAGTACATGGCAAAGCAGCAGAAAGAGTCGTGTAATTAGGCGCTATTCAAGTTTTGTACTTACGTTCTAACTAATTGGTTACAGATGGACAGCTGCTTGTTTGTTAACAATAAAGTCTGCATTTACATGGATTTGGTGTTCAACATCCATGACATTCGGCAGACAGACGAACTACACCCTATCGTATTGCCAAGATTCTTTATCGGCCCTCCCTTTCTCTGAGTGAACGATAGAAACCTGTTTTGCTTGCAAACAATATATGACTGAGATCATTTGGGTCGTTTGGATGGAGTATTTGTATGAGTTATTTGCGTCCAAATATCTCATTGAATATATGACTGAGATCATTTGGGTCGTTTGGATGGAGTATTTGTATGAGTTATTTGGGTTCAAATAACTCACAATGAGTTATTTGGACGCAAATAACTCATACAAATACTCCATCCAAACGACCCATTATTTGGACGCAAATAACTCGTTTGGCAGCGTTTTACTGAAACGAGTTATTTACAAATAACTCAAAACGAGTTATTTGAAATAACTTATACCCATGTGTTATTTTGAAATAACTCGTCTTATCCCTCTGCTTTTACTAAATGCCACATGTCAAATACCACATTTGCATGGTTCAACCAAACGAGATACTTTATTTCAATTACCACTGAAATAACACTGAAATACCACATAAACAATAAATGAGTTCTTTGACTCTACAAATACCACATTGACAATTAACTCATCTAAACGACCCTGTAAATAACTCAAAACGAGTTATTTGAAATAACTTATACTCATGTGTTATTTCGAAATAACTCGTTTTATCACTCAGCTTTTACCAAATACCACATGTCAAATACCATATTTGCATGGTTCAACCAAACGAGATACTTTATTTCAATTACCACTAAAATAACACTGAAATACCACATGAGCAATAAATGAGTTATTTGACTCTACAAATACCACATTGACAATTAACCCATCCAAACGACCCCGTAGCATTTTTGGCCATCTATTCTATCCCGAGAACTTGCTGGTTATCTGGTTATCCAGATCAAGTGCTTCCACCTCGAAGTCCAAACTGAACAATTCCCAACTCCTCAGCGCAACCTGCAGCCTCCCTCTGGCAACGGCAGAGAGTTCTGCCAAGATATTGGTGGCGAACCACCGAAGTAGGTTCCCGGATACAGCTTCTTCGGTAGTCGGTAGGGGACTGAGTTAGGCTATTAATGAGTCGAGGATCCCAACCGTTACAAGTTGGTTGACTCTCCCGATAGGATACTGTTAGAAACCGAATTATCTCGGGTTTCTATATTTATTATTATTATTATTAGGGTAATTATCAATAAGGTTAGTAGTCATTTAATAGAATTAGGTTTATTGTTAGGGTTTTCCAGTCTTTCGTTATAAATATGTACTTTGAGTCTACGTTATGATCAGTCAAGAAAGAATTATCAAAGAATCTCCTAAACCCTAATCTCCCTATCTTCTCAATTCTCGATCTCAATCACTCTAAAGGCTTAGGCCGATTCTCCTCTGTTCTTCCCCAATTCTGTTCCTAATCCCTAATTCTCTTTTAAATCCCTAAATCTCTACCAATTCCCAATTTCCCAACACAATCGTTGGAACCCTAAAAATAGGTTTCCTACATCTGGTATCAGAGCCCGGTTTCGAGAATTGAGTTTTTCACAACTCTCAACCGGGGACGAGTTCTACAGCTGGTTCGACGATGAGCTCTTCAAGGCTCTCGGAGCTGTCATGGGCGGAACTACGGGAACGGGCCCGCCGCATTGGACGTCGTTGGCTGCCCGAGGAGTCGGCGACCGCGAAGGCAGAGACGGTGGTTCATGCCGACGTCCACGAGCGATCCCCACCCTCGGCCGAGGCTGATTCGCGTGCAGGCGGACGACGACCCGAGCAGAGCCCCGCGACGATCATCGCGGACGGAGAGCTCGTGAGTCCTGCCGTTGCTACCCCAAGCATCATCCCCATCGTCGAACACCAGGAGCAGGCTCGGCAGCTGGTTGGGGACGACGCGGAAGAAGGGCTGGTGGTCTCAACAACGAATTCCAACCCGGAAGCTCCTGCCTTTCACGATGCAGTCGTAGAAGACCCTGCTGTCGTGGAGTTAGCTCCGGGGGGCGTTGCTACGTCAATGGAGAAAACGCCATTGTCAATTGACAAGGTGGTGGTGTCTACTGCAGCGATTAGTATAGTCGTTTCCTCTGCCAAAGATGAAAGGAGCAATAATGGCATGACGGAAGGAGTTGGTGACCTTGACTCCTCTTTTGTTGTTCCGCCCAAGAAGAAGGAGAGAGAAAACGTCACGGCGGTGGCCGAAGAAGAAGATCGTGTGGTCCAGGCCACTGTTTCCGGTGATGGGCGAGCATCCTTCTCCGAACTGGAAGAAAGGGCTGGGGGTGAGGGGAGCGGATCAACTCTAAGTTGCCGACCAAACTGGCGATTCAGGAAGAAGGAGGAAGGACCACCCTCTCCACTGGCCCTGGCGAGGGAGGATCGGGACACCAGGGCGCCGGGATCTTGTGCCGCTGATCCGGTCAAGCGATTGAAATTCTCTCCAATGGCCGCTTCGTCTCCCGATGAGGTGCGCCGGGTGATGAGGCCATCGTTTGCTCGAGTGGCAAACTGGAGGTTCGTGAAGAAGGAGCCAGGAGTCCAATCAAAGCTGGCGGAGGCCCACTACGGGGCTGATCGGCAGCGCGAAGCGAAGACTGCGCTGTGCTACTTGCTTGAACCGTCGGAACTTCGAATCAGGTGCAGAAAGCAGCGATTGGCGGGGGTCTCCGTCACGTCGAGGGAATGGAAGGAGAAGTCAAGGGCGGAGCCGGTGGAGGAAGCAGCCCCGGAGAGGGAAAAGACGACGACAAGACCGATGGAGACGTTAGCCACCGGGGGAAAGAAGTCGGAGGTGAGTTGGCAGCCACGCCGCCTTGAGGTTTGTTCCCTGGAGTGGCCGCGGGAGGAGTTGGAGAAGGAGCAGCAGACGACTGACAAGGAGGCGGCGCCAAGGATGATGATGGAAGCGGGCGGAACCTCCCGCCAGGTGAGCGGGTCGCCGCCGGGAAAATCGAAGGAGTTGGCAAAGATGGAAGTCTTGTCGCCGGTGATGGAAGTGTCGAGGAAGTTAAAGGAGGAGGTTGGCGGTGGCGGTATCCTTCCCCTCGCAAACTCTAAGTTGCCCACTAAGGATTGCGATACGCAAAAGCAGCAGGGGCGGGCTGGAATGAGCCGAGATGCTAGGTGGAGCGGGCTGGCATTTGATGATAGAAGTATTGATGGGCTTTTGTTGGTCCGTGAGGACTGTAAAGAACACCTTGTGCAGATTGGTGGGAAGAAAAGGGAAGGTTCCATGGAAACTGGAATTCGAGCGACCTTCCAACTATATGACCTTTTGTGCGTTGATGTTGTCATAGGAACGGAGGAGGGTGGCAAGAGAATAAGTGCTTTGCTGTCGTTTGGAGCTACTGGGAAGTTTGAGGTGAGTCTAATAGATGGGGAGCTTGGAAGGAAGTTGGTAGTGGGGATGTGCCTTGGCCATACGACCATGTCAAGGGAAATGGGGGGTCGGAAGGAAATTAAAAGGGAGCTGATGAGTCTTCCACTTGCTCGGCTTAAAAAAAGGAGAGAACATAATTTTTGGTTATCCATTGCTGGTGGTGAAATGATTGTTGCGCGATTGCTGAACTTAGGGGAAGGCTTGGCAAATACTCTTGGCGATATCCCTTCTGAAGGTCAAGTTGGAGCTGCTTATGTTAGACGTCTTGTTCGAGTTCCCAAACGTATTTGGAAGGAACGGAAGCGTAAGAAATGGAGGAGTCGGCGTGGGGATTACGCGGGTCAAGTTGCCAACCTTGAGGGCAAGGTTGGTCTGAAGGAGGAGGAGATGTTAGAAACCGAATTATCTCGGGTTTCTATATTTATTATTATTATTATTAGGGTAATTATCAATAAGGTTAGTAGTCATTTAATAGAATTAGGTTTATTGTTAGGGTTTTCCAGTCTTTCGTTATAAATATGTACTTTGAGTCTACGTTATGATCAGTCAAGAAAGAATTATCAAAGAATCTCCTAAACCCTAATCTCCCTATCTTCTCAATTCTCGATCTCAATCCCTCTAAAGGCTTAGGCCGATTCTCCTCTGTTCTTCCCCAATTCTGTTCCTAATCCCTAATTCTCTTCTAAATCCCTAAATCTCTACCAATTCCCAATTTCCCAACACAATCGTTGGAACCCTAAAAATAGGTTTCCTACAGATACCCAACAAACATTCATAAACTAGAAGAGTGTTGGGTATGGTTTGACATTCTATATGCTATAGTACTACTAGAAAACAAGCAGAAACTGCCTGTTTCAATCAACATAGCTCACTTCCATACAAAGAACAATCTTCTGCTTGGCAGATGCATCCGAAACAGCACAAGTGAAGACTCAGTTACCTTGTATAGTAAGTTCTATGGAAAGCAATCGTGCTACCCTAGAAACCATGAACATTAAGAGAACGAATTTATTCATAACTACAAATGTCTAACTACTCACGAATAGCAGGGCCGGTGTATTGTCCAGGGCGCATATAGAGATCCTCTGGTGTCTCTATCTCTGAAAGCCACGCATATTCCTCTGTTCCTCCATCCTTTACCTCAACTCCACTTGCTGCTGCAGGATTTACATGTTATATTAAGTTTATTTGTCTCTTAGTTCAAACATATACATGTAACTAGATGAAGAGCAAAAAAACTGCTTACACAATTTGGAGTCTGGGTAGTCGTGGTAATATGTGCACTTTCTTCCAGCTTGTTCGTTGTAAGTAGGTGTGAGAATATCGAGGACTGCACAAGGGGTTAACGCAGTGAAGCAATGCAGATTCCCCCCAGCATTCGGATATAAGACTGATGTTACACAAGGGGCAGTCAGAACTTTGTCAACAGCAAACTTTGCGAGCCTTTCTGTCAAAGGGTGAAAAGTGAAAACTCTCAGGGGTACTCCTATTATTCAACACATAATACCAGAGCAATAGGCAAGGCTAAAAAAGGAGGCGAAGTATCAAACTGATGAGCCATGTACTAAAGATAATCCTTATCCTTGAGAGTTATGAGAGGTAAAGAACAGACATGGAGCAAGCAAGGCAGGAGCATCTACATTTTAATACACCATAATAGACCACAAGCAACATTTTTTATGGACGGAATAGTTGCAAAGTCAGCATCTTTATCAGGAAATTTGCTACTATACTAGAATTCTATGTTCTTGAATGTGTAATTGAGCTTCCCAGCTAACTAGCTGTTATATGTACAAACTTGCAACTCCTCGCTACTATGCTTTGTTGCTCCACAATAGAGGACACAATCTCGTAATGATCTGACAAGAAGATCAAACCTTAACCATGAAATTCTCTCCCTATTGATCAAGGAAATTGAACACTTAACCCCAAGTCAATTCCGACAAAGTTCACATCGTGTACCCGAGAGGTCGCGCTCTTCTAAAGCAATTGGAGCATCATGCGAAAGAAGTAAAGGGTAAAATGTAGAACCTGAAGGAAACCCATCCTTGGTTTTCGAGAGAACAGCTGGCTCAACCCAGTCATAAGCTTTGACATGGAGGGAGCCATAGAGAACTTTGCTGAACACAGTCATGCCAGGGTGATCATGAAGTGGAATAACAGAGGAGGTAGGAAAGCAGAATATACACATCTGCATTCAAAGATTAATAACTCGCATCAAACTTTGAACACAGAGAATCTAGATCATCTAAATCCAATTAGAGTGCATGTTACTTCAATCAACAACCACAACCAGTGAGTTATAATGTCAGGAGGGTGAAGCAATACCGTAAAACTATCACATTCATAAACGTCTATGTATGTTATTGGTTGAGACCACTTAGCAACCCTACTGAGACGTTGAAGCCCGAACATGCCATGTCCTCGATCATCATCTGAAGTTTCCTCTTTCAGTCCCACATCAGCTGGGCCAATCGAGTCTGCAGATTTCATAGGGAATTAGGGTCAGTAATCAAGACAAAAGAGTTGGCAAGATGAGGCATTTGAACTTCAATTCCAAGAAATTGTTCATTGTTCAGGAACGGAACTCATGAATTGAATTAACAGCAAGAAGCATGAACCATAGGAGTAGAAAATAAAGACTTTGAGAACCAATACATGTGGAAATGACAAATGGATTCTGAAGAGCAAATTTATGCATTGGGGATACAGTTTCACACTGAGCTTCAAAACGAAGCAAAAATTCAAAAACCCATTTCAGGAATTGCCACGAACTTGATCAAGCACACAAAAAATCTGCCAATTTAGGACCAACAACGAGGATTGAGCAAAAAGGAAGGAACTCATAAGAAAGAGGTAAAGAAAGAAGGCGGGAAAGGAATACCCAAAAGAGAGGAAATCTTTTGGACGGCGGCCGACGAAGACGGAGGAAGGCCGGACGGAGAGAAAGTGGACTTGCATAGCTCGTAAAGAGCTTGAACTTTAGAAGACGAAAACTGGTGCTCCACCATATCGGCGCTGCTGCTCAAGCTACTACACTGGGTAAAAGGCGACGAGGAGCCCTGCGTTTTATTGGCCCCAAAAAACAATTTCCTCGCGTTATCGACAGCAATTTGGAACTTTGACAACATTCTCCGCGGTCTAACTGCGTTGTTATCAGATAGATAACGAAATTATTAATAATGCAACGAAATTATGGTCCTGAAATGGTTGAAAACAAATAAAAAATTAAATCGCCACCTCACCGGGAAACCTGGAGGCGGAATAAAAAGACTACTAATGGAGAAGCTTGTGCGTGCAGATTATTGACTGGCGATCGGTTCTTCGTTGCCGGCGGTCCATTATTTCTTTTCCGAAGGGTTCGGTAGTGGAGAATGGAGATGACGCATGTGAAGTTTTAATGTTTTATGTTCAGGTAAATTGCAAGTTCGGTCATTAGAATTATTTAAAAGTACACATTTGTCACTAAAATTTAACTTATTACATATATAGTCACTCAAATTAATTCAATAATTCAAGTTTGGTCACTCTCCGTTAACTTTATTGGACGTGATACTCAACTCTAAGAGTTGATTGTTAAGTGAAGTGGCAATAAAAAAATAAAAGATAACTTTTTAAAAAACTCCTCATTATCACAATGAATTAAAAAATAAATAAAACAAATAATTATTTCCTCCTTCATTCTTCTCTCCAGATTCCGACCCTAGTCCCTACCACTACTCCGCAGGTGCAACTCCGCCATGACGCTTCGAGAACAAGACTCCGATGCTTACAAACATGGACCACGTGCTGCTATTGTTCATGGTGGCGGTGGAGATGCCAAATCACTTCCACGGACTCCAACTTGGCGGCGATTCTCACCGAGCACACTATAGGAATTCCTAACTAGAATTATCAACTAAACATGACCACAAATTTGCAGAGATTGAAATTTGCAGCGAGTCGCGGAAAGACAAAAGAAGAGAAACGAGACAAATAGACAACAACAGCAGGTGGTCCAGTTTCTACCTCTTCATTTTTCTGCCTTTGTTACAAACCCACATTTGCCTTTAAATTTACTTATGCAAGATGGAGAGATTTGAAGAAGAGGTGGAGTTTTGGTGAGGTGATGTAGCATTCTCACCACAAAATCGATTGGAGTATAGCAGAGGGAAAATGTGATGAATTTGGTTGAAGCAAACTTTGAGTGAATGATTTATTGATCGAATGCTTGATTGTTACAGATGGTTTCTACTCTACTTATACAAGAGGAAAGATAATAAACAATAAGAAGGAACATGCTGAAAGCATGGGTGTTGCCAGAAGTAGCATGGGACTCCTGGAGTGGCATAGGTATTCTGTTGCAGTTGTCTGGTAGAGGTGAATAAATGGTGATGGTATGGTGGATAGTGGTGAATGCTGTAGCTATCAGCATTGATGATTTCCTTCACTCTCCCTCAAACGAAGACATGAATATTAAGAATGCCGAGTTTGAAGAGATAGGTCATGACGACTGACATCTTGGATGATGTTGATTTGGAGACTGCTGACTTCGTCTCTTCGAGCAACTTGATAGACAGATCGACACCTTTGACATTGTGATCGATCTTATGACTGAATTGGTCGACCGGATGACTGAACCGATCGACTGATCTCTTGTTGATTATGTTGATTCCCTATTCTCCCCCCTCAACCTGGAGCATGAACATTGTGAATGCCCTGGTTGAAAGGTGATGAATAATTGGTCTTAGCCCAATAATAAACACCGAGGGGTCGATCTTTTCTAGGATCGTTTCTTCCATTTGAAGCGCTGAGGGGACGATCTCTTCTTGGATCGTACAACCGTCTAGAAACGCTATGGGAACGATCTGATCGAGAGTGCCTCGTGAAGCTGAGGGGCCGATCTTTTCTTGGGTTGTATTTACCTTTTGGACGCCGAGGGGCCAATCTCTTCTTGGATCGGATAACCGTCTAAAAACGTCAAGGTAACAACCTGATCGGAGAAACTTCGCACAGTGGCTTGACAATCATTACAGACATAAGCTCTCTTTCACTCCAACATTGGCTATGGAAGGGCGACCAACACATGGGTGGTAACTGTGGCGATGCAGCGATGGAGTTGGAGAAACAGGTGGCGATGCAGCGGTGGAGGACGGCGGTGAAGCGGCTGCGGAGGACGACGGCGATGCGGATTTGGGGAACCGGGCGACAGCAGCGATGCAGACTGGAACTGGTTGTCGACGGCGACGATTCAACCGACGTCGACTCGGAAGCCCGGTCTGAAACCCGACTCCGCTTATTTGGCCGACGATTATGATGACTTTGACATGGCGTCGTGGTCGATGATGGTGTCGGTGGCCTCGAGAGGAATACGGTGACTTCAATGGCGACGATGATGAAGTCTTTGATGATGACTCCTAAGGCGAGAGCTTGAGCAGCCTCGCCTGAAGATTGCTGCCTTTACTGGGGACGGCGGCCGTGACTGGCTTCTTCGATTCGGCAACGATGAGAGGGATGGTGACGACAAACTGAGACGATCCGGCGTTTCTGTTTCTAATACTGCCGCTAGCTCTTCGGTGAGGACGACGCAAGCAGCGAACAGGGGATTGGCCACGACGCTGACCAACAGATAGATCCGATGAGGAGTCTGAACTAGGATTCTCCCCGTGAATTGATCTGCTGGAGAGATTGACTGACGGCGGGAATGACTTCGCCTGGACGAGAGATGGCATTTACTGAGATGGGCCGGAGATGGTGGTGTTTATTCGTGATGGTGGAAGGATGAGATGGAAGAAGAGCAGCCTGGAAAAGGCCTGCTCGTGACTGGAAATTGATAGACTAATGGCGGAAGCATGATATTGGATAGTTGCCTGGAGAAAACGGACTCATGACAAGCAGCTATGAAGAACACTCAAGACTGGAAATCGAAGAATAAAAGAATGGGAGGCAAAGAAGAAATGGTATGAAGAACTCTCAATGTATTCGTTTCTTCCTTTTCTTTTTCTTTGGCTTTCCTCTACTAGATTCAGAATCCAGCTCTGATACCATGATGAATTTGTGTATGATGATTTTATTGATGGAAAGCTTGATTGTTACAGATGGTTTCTACTCTACTTATACAAGAGGAAAGATAATAAACAATAAGAAGGAACATGCTGAAAGAATGGGTGTTGCCAGAAGTAGTATGGGTTGTCTGGAAGTAGCATGGGACTCCTGGAGTGGCATAGGTATTCTGTTGCAGTTGTCTGGTAGAGGTGAATAAATGGTGATGGTATGGTGGATAGTGGTGAATGCTGTAGCTATCAGCATTGATGATTTCCTTCAAAATGAGAGTGGATTGAGGGAGCGTTGCTGCAAACCCTCCTTATCCCATTATCACCGGCAACAATAGGAGCTTCATCGAGAATGGAGAAAAGTGGAAAGGGTTGACGAGGATGACGACGACGATGACTGGCGGCAATAACTAGGAATTAGGGATTTTTTTTTCCGTTGAATGGAATTAGAGATTTAGTTTTGATAATGAATTAGGGATTTAGTTGTGAGGTGGAAAGCTTAAATAATTAAATTTAATTTTTTATTAATATTAATATTTTTAATTAACACGTCATTTATTTAACTGTCAACTTTGAGAGTTGACTGTCATGTCAAATAAAGTTAGCGAATACTAATGGAAAGTGATCAAACTTGTACTGTTGTATTAATTTGAGTAATTATTCATAGAACAAATTAAATTTAGTGGCAAATGTGAATTTGTAAGTAATTTCATTAAGCCAATCAATTTACCCTTTATGTTCATTTGCTTTCTCTGTTAACTGATTTGTTATGTTTTTAAACTCTAGTGACCAGTTCATCATATAAAGTAAAGTATAGTAACCATTTGGGAATTTATCCTATATTATCCGCTCAACTTCCACCTCCAAGTGTGAACTCGATCCGCAGTTCTTTTGGCGGGAAAATTACTCCATTTTTTCGACCTAATTTGAATCAATCGACATCTTCTTCAGTCCCTGACGCACTGCTGCCTCCGCGTCCGCGAGATTCTGCATTTTCATTTCGCTACAGGTTGCGCGAGGTTCGTTCTCTTGAGATGGAAGGCAGCCAAAGCGAGGCGGTGTTCAGCTCGTTGAATCTTAACCCCCAGATCTTCGTCAACGAAACCCTGAACACCGTCGACGACCTGTTCGACGAAGCCTTCGATTTCTTTCATCAGTCGGTACCTCCTTTTCTGTCTGTTATTTACCTTTCTTCCTCCTCGTCCTTTCCCTCGCCGGTGGTGTGATTTCCTCAACTCTGAACCGCTGCAGAGAAGCGTCGGGCCGTCTGCAAACCGAAGGAACCGAACGGGCCCATCATCTGAAGGAGGTACTTCCCGATTCTTGCTTGTATCAATTGATTTGATTCAACTGTTGCCATGGTGGTGGTGAAGTTAGTTTTTTTTCTCTTGGTTTGTTTTTGTTGCTTAGGGCATTAATTCCGTTCGGTACATGGTGCAATCTGGGTTGGATAAGCGACTTGAGATGTGGGAGAAGTATTGCCTTCATCACTGTTTTGCAGTCCCTGAAGGATTCTCCTTACCCAACACTGTAGTGCCTTTTTCTCTACGCTGCGTCTCTTACTGTTTGTTGATTTCTGTATAGAAACGTCTTCAAGTTTGGTAGTGATAGGTTCTGCATATAGAGTGGCCTCTGATACAGTAATTGCATATGTGTTTTGGATTTTTTATGGAGCTGTAAGCTAGATCTAATTACATGTTGCTATGGTTTGGTAGCAGAACTATAGGATACCCTTAGCATGAATGTTTTGTTAATATTAAGTTGGTTATGATTGCAATGCTATTTTGTAAAAGGGTCAAAGAGAAGCTCTTAATCTACGGCACTAGCTCCTCTAAAATTCTTAGCAGTTGGAATGTATTAATTCAAGTGTCTGTCCGGTTGCAGCTTGAGATTGTTGATTTATCTGTTTGCTTGAATCTGTAGTGACATGCTTGGCTTGACACCTTGGCTTTACAACATGTTATATCGATGCCAATCAACAGAGCTCACATTTAAAAAAAAATTCATTCATGCTGCAATGTAAGATAGTATTTTGCCTCCTGATTACAAAATTGCTTTGTTGGCATCTCATTTTCAGAATGAATCTCCAAAACAAAGTTCCACAAGTCAAGATTTGCTTTCAGACCCTGCTCTTGATTCACAATTGGATTCTCTGAGGGAAAGACTTGCTGAGGTGAGAATTAAAGGTAGCATCTTTCAACATCCATTGGATGTTTATTTGATTTATATTCCTGTCTACCAGTTGCTTGCTACTTCCTCATAAAAAACTCATTGATAGGTGTCACGACAGTCTGTTGAGCTTAATAGGGAGCTTCAAGACTTGGAACGAAAATCCACTGCAACTGATCGGTGTAACGAACTTCTTGCTGAGGTGTTTCAGTCGTATGATAAAAACTCTGCTGATAGTCTGTTTCAAGGTAACTCTCTACTTTTGGTATGATATATCTTTTCAAACTGGCCGACTTGCATACATAGCTCCATTGGCTGTTTCCATACAATTTTCACATGCCAATCTTATGTGCATGCATGAGTACTTTAAAGGATGAATTCACATACTATTTAGAGCATTTTAGATGAAGAAGAAAGTTCATCTCAGTTAATTATGTACCAACGAGTGATCTTCCATAATAATGATCTGAGAAACCATTCATCAAATGTTTAGGGGAGATAATACTTGTATATGTGACTTACCACTGGTTAAGCCTGTTATATTGAGGGGTAAGGCCTCATGGCATTGGCAAGGAAAGAAACTCGTTGCTTTTACTCACATTCAAACCCCCTTATTACAGAGATGTTGCAAACTGCATCCGAATTTCGTGGAAAGCTTGAGAATCTTCAGTTTCCCAGGCCAGAGGACACAGGGAGCAGCAAAGTAAAGATTGGCGACATAAGCAGCAATTTGGAAACTCTTGAAGAGTTTCTCGGCAAGTTGAAGGAACTATAAAAGCAGTCGTATGCTCATGAGTCTGCTACAAGGTCAGTATAGTATGCGCTCCTCTATGCTGTCCACGTGAGCCATAACATGATTGTGTCATTAGATAGAAGTGTAAGAACGTAATTGTATACATTCATGCTTTGACGTACCTTGTTGAACAAGATACTCGAATCCGTCTAAACAGATTTGAAGATTGTTAAGAATTTATTGGGTGAGCTGAAGAATGATAAGACAAAGATGTATCGGTTCCTATATAAGCCTTATATGAGATTTGTTACATGTTAATGAGTACAAGAACTGACACAGGTAATTACCAGAAAAAAAAAATAAACTGGGACATTTTATTTAGCGACCAATTACCTTATTGACGACGCTAAACACAAGAATACTGAATGGGGCCTGGGCCAGGACTTGGATCTGCTTCTATCCTTTATTTATTATAAGGACGGGCTTGAACATAGTGAGAGTCATTTGGGCTTAGTCTGGGGCTTGTAACGCGCAGACATGGAGGTGACACACACGTCCAACCCCGACCCCTGGCACTCGCTGATTCTCTCGCTCCCCGAAACCAAATTCACCTCAAACGACGGCGTTTCCCGCACATTCTGTTCCCTTTGCAGCCGCAAACAGATGGACTCCAAATCCGAATCGTCCCTCGCCGCCGACGGCAGGCCCAGGCCCAGGCCCACCCTCCTTCTCCTGGCGGCTATGAAGAGATCACCCGAACCAGCATCCCGCCTGATGTTGTCGGGCTCCACGACGTCGCTTAGCACGACCTCCGCCGTGTTGGCCCTGGGCCCCTTCAGCCACAACCGAGTCAACTGGCTCCGAGTCGCCTCCGACACCAGCACCACCGAGCCGTCGCCGCTGAGGGCGACGCCGGTGGGGAATCCGAGGTTACTGAGCAGGACGGTGACCTGTCCGGTGCTGACGTCATACTTCATCAGCCTCCCCGTGGCGTCGTTCGCCAGAAGCGCCTGCCTGTAGTTCCGGATCTGGTATCGGGTGCTGCAGTCGGTGAAGTAGATGTTTCCGGTGAGTGGATCGACGTCCACTGCGTTTGTGGCGACGAAGGGAACGCCTTCTGCGGCGGTGGCGAGCGGCTTGGCCAGCCTGCCGTCGGGCCCCGCCGTCAGGAGGCCTAGGTAGGCGTCGGCTATGATGAGCTGTCTGGTCAGTGGGTTGTAGGCCAGACCCAATGGGTAGCCGCAAACCGGACCCATGTCCGGGTCGGTTGTGTTGTCGCAAGCCGCCCGAGACCTAAAACACATACGGCATTGTAATCAACTACAATCTAGAAATGAGCAGTTCTACTATGTTATAAAATATTGGTTCTTTAATGTACAATTTGAAATTGCATCATAACGATTAAATGTATAAGTTTATGTTGTACAATAAATGAATTTGTACCCTTATGTTATGTTACAACTTTACAAATTAAAGTTGTACGTACCGTCACACCATAAAAAAAATTGTACAAAAGAGTATAGGTACAATTTGAAGTTGTACCATAACGTTACTTAAAGTTACAGCTTCAAGTTGTACCATAAAGGCAAAAACCTATAGCACCAATGTTATATAACATTGTAAAATTCCTCATCTAGAAATATACCGTGTAAACATAGTTCATCGTAAATGAACTAATTGATGATTAAATTTGTACGATATTGATTCGTGGAAGATAAAATCTTAACAAAGTACGTTAAAAACTAAATTGTTTCGGTATTAGTTAGTTTCAAAATTTGGGGCAAACATGAAACAACTGGTGGATTACTTTTCTATAAGAAAAATATGCGGCTAGAGAACATCCGAACATGTAGGTGACTACCTCTTTGGATTAGTGCATGCAAATTCTGTAGGAAATATATGTTCCACGTGATGTGGGCTGTGGTTTATGGGATAATAATTGTATTAGTTATTTGTTATAGTGGGTTAATTATAAGTGGTCAAATTATGGAGGCCAAGACTATTCAATATTTTATATGGACCCAATGAGTGGAAATCAGATACTAAACCTAATTAGGGTTTTATGGGAACCCTAGCTAAACATAGTATATAAAGAACCTAGAGGTTGTGGTCCCCAAGACCGAAAAATACACACATATTCTCCCCATCAGGAATACGTGAGGTTTCCCGTGAGTGGACTAAGGAGGCTTGGTTGAGGAATGTCACTAAACTTCCCGGATCGTGCTCCTGAGGTATCGTCCGGTTAAAGATCGTTCTACAATCTACAGATTCCGCATCAAGCTCACGACGATCTACCATCATGAATCCAGGTATTTAGATCTGTTCGCCTTTGATAATCTGATAGGATATTTCCAGAGAATTATGTATTTCGATTAATTCCAACAAGTGGTATCAGAGCCTGGTTATCTTTGTTAGATTATTGAGGCTTCCGCATACTTGGATCTGTTATATTGCCTGATTGCATTGCTAGTTAGGTACATATTGCATGCTACTGTTCTCGTACCCATGCATATTGTAGATCAGTAATGCCCTGCGTTTGCTTGGAATTGGATTCATGATTGGGCAATACCGGTGACTGCTTTTGGATCAGTTATGATTATGTTGCTTAAAATAATAAAAAAATGGAAATCCAGGTTGTTGGGTGGAGATTTCATTCTTTTCATTATAAATCACTCAAGCCAAAAGGAATATATACGGTTCCATCTTTTCTTCATCTTCCTGGTTGTGAAGTTTTGGGTAAAGCATTGTTCCAAATCAAGCATTAAGCATCCCGTCTGTGTTTATGAAAATAAAGTAGAGGTTGAGGGTTCTTTGGTTTCAGACCCTCTTCATCGGGATTTAATTGCTTCAGTTTGGGTTATTTTATAATTGGTTGATTGGTTTACTGTGTGCGTATTTTGGGTATGTATATATATTGATTTTGAACGCACATGGTTTATGTAATCAATCAATTGGTCCAGTATTTTAAACTGATTTGATTCTTTATGTTATGTTGCCAAAGTAACCTCTAGTGTGAAAATTGATCAAATTAAATTACTTGGATGTATAGTGTGTGGTTGTTTATGCGGATAGTTCGGCCCAAAGGTAGATACTATTTGGCTAAATGATGATGCACCTTAATGATAAATACGTGATGATTGTAAAGCTTATTTTCATGTGAATGATAGTTGGTCCAAAGATAAACTATTATTTGACAGAACTCATTATCAGTATTTGTCTATTTGATCATTTTAGTAAGAGTACCACTCGCAGTTAATTTCTCTGTCCAAAGACTAAGAGTTAATGTTGCATTTGGTATCTTAAGATGGGTTTCAGAAATAAGACTTAAATGTCTGAATTTTGTTCTCGGTTGTATGGATTTGGATCTTGCACTGCGGTTGGAGCGTCCTGTTTCTACTCCAGATAACCTTAATGAGGTTAAAATAGAAAAGTGGGATCGCTCTAATCGTATGTGTATGATGATCATGAAGCGCTCTATTCCAGAAGCGTTTCGGGGCTCTATGATTGAGAATGAGAGCGCTAAGGGGTTCCTTGAGGAAATTGAGCAATACTTTGCCAAGAATGAAAAATGAGAGGCAAGTAACCTTCTGTCTAAGCTCGTTTCCATGAAGTATAAAGGCAAGGGGAACATAAGGGAGTACATTATGGAGATGTCTAATCTCGCATAAAAACTCAAGTCACTAAAGTTAGAGCTGTCTGAAGATTTGCTCGTACACTTGGTTTTGATCTCTCTCCCTGTACACTTTGGGCAATTCAAAGTGAGCTATAACACTCAGAAAGACAAGTGGTCTCTCAATGAGCTTATATCTCACTGTGTGCAAGAGGAAGAGAGGCAAGCGCGGGATAGGACTGAGAGTGCTCACTTAGCATCAAGTTCTCAAAACAAAATCAAGAAGAGAGCTAGGGATGTTGCAGAAAAGTCTTCTCAGCAAAAGAAACCAAAGATGCAAACTGAGGGGTTTCCTTACTACTTCTGTAAGAAGACTGGGCACATGAAGAATGAGTGTCCCAAGTATGCCGTTTGGCGTGAAAAGAAGGGTGAGCTTCTTACTTTAGTTTGTTCTGAAGTTAATTTAGCTTTTGAGCCTATGGATACTTGGTGGGTGGATTCTGGTGCTACCACTCACATAAGTGTATCTTTGCAGGGCTGCCTGTGGAGCCGGCCACCAAGTAAGAACGAAAAGTTCATCTATGTGGGGGACGACAATAAAGTTGTAGTGGAGGCTATCGGAACTTTTAGATTACAATTAAAGACTGGATGTCATTTGGATTTGTTTGAGACTTTTGTTGTGCCGTCATTTCGACGGAATTTAATTTCGGTTCCATGTTTGGACAAATCAGGTTATTCTTGTTCATTTGGAGATAATAAATTTAGTCTCTCACAAAATTCAGTTTTGATTGGTACCGGTCCATTGATTGATAATCTATACATGCTTGATGTGATTAGTTCCCATAATGAAATCCTCCAAACAAGTTCACGAGGTACAAAGCAAAAATTTAATGAGAATTCTGCTGCTTTATGGCACAAGCGCTTAGGACATATCTCCAAACAGAGAATTCAGAGGCTTGTGTCTGATGGAATTCTTGAACCCTTAGATTTAGCAGATTTTGAAGTCTGCATTGAGTGCATTAAGGGTAAGAGAACAAACATTAAGAAATTGGGTGCCAATAGAGCTCAAGACGTCTTAGAACTCATTCATACTGATATATGTGGTCCATTCCCTACAGCATCTTGGAACGGTCACAAATATTCTATCACGTTCATAGACGATTACTCTAGATATGGTTACCTCTTTCTGATAAATGAGAAGTTGCAATCCTTGGATGTTTTCAAGTCTTTTAAGGCTGAAGTTGAACTTCAACTTGGAAAGAAAATTAAGGCTGTCAGATCGGACCGTGGTGGAGAATACTATGGTCGATATGATGGATCCGGAGAACAACGTCCAGGACCCTTCGCGCTTTACCTCAAAGAGTGTGGGATTGTGCCTCAATACACCATGCCAGGAACACCTAGCATGAATGGCATTGCAGAAAGGCGCAATCGTACTCTTAAAGACATGGTAAGAAGTATGCTTAGTCATTCTTCCTTACCGGAGTCACTTTGGGGGGAAGCTCTAAAGAGTGCTGTATACATCCTTAATAGGGTAGGGGTGCTAACGGTACGGTTTACGGTATACCGTTTACCGTTTATCCGGTTTCGGGTATACCGGATGTCCCGTGTCACCCGCCGTTAGCCGATACCGAAGGCGCTCGGTATACCGGCAGCCGAATGGGACGGCCTCGGTTAGGGAAACGGTGTCCCGAAATACCGAAGCGCCTCATTTAAATGTCACCTCTACCTTGTTTTGTTTGGGCCGGGTACATTGTCTGTCACTGTCTGCGTCTGTCGGTCTGTCCCAATTCCCATTTGGCCATTTCAACAAGACAAGACACTGTGATTTGGTGACTTTGTAAATTACTATCAATCATACTATGTTTTGTCGAGTCCCATGAGACAAGAAGACAAATAAGTTTGTTTAATTAATTAATTGTTTAATAATTGTTTCGTTTTCTTAATTGTCTGTCCCACATGAGCCAATATATTTGGAATTTGGTTAATTGTTTCGTTGTAATAGTATGTCCCATGAGCAATATATTTGTTTAAGTTTAATTGTTTCGTTGTAAATTGTAATTCAACAAAGAAGAAGACAAATATGATTTAATGATTATATGGGAAAAAAACTGTAATCCAACAAGTGAATTCCGAATAGCAAATACCACGTAGCTATAATTCCAAAGGGAGCAGTCTGGCATGCTTCTTCTAAATGTTTGAATTAAGTTCTAAAAATGACGATAAAAAATAGAATCACTAGTTCCTCACTTGCCACTAGGACCTGTACCATCAACATCAACAAAACCTTGTTGCTTCAAAGTGGTGCGAAGGGTATCATCACCATCATCCTCTTCATCTTGGTCCTCCTCGTCTGAATCTTCCTGCTCTTCATCTTTCTCCTCCTCCTCCTCCAGCACAACAGGTAAACCTTGTTTGTCACCTTTACTTGGCATGACAGTAGCACTTTCCATTCGAGCTTGGAAGTTAGTAGTGACTAAGTATAATAAAAAATACAAATTGTTAGAATTCATCTTATAATATATTATTGAGAAATGAGTAAAAGAATACTTAAAAATAAATTAAATTATGAATTCTTATTTCTTACCAGTTTCATAATCGATTTGGTCTTGATTTTCATCTTCTTTATCATCAAGTTTTTCTGTT